ATTTACCGAGAGTCGACCACGTTCGACTCTCGGTAAATCTTGGCATTGTGAGAATACTTGGTCATAATATCTTGGTCACGGCTCAACAAACGTCACTGAAAGTAGTTCTGTCGTTTTTAGATCCTTAAGCTGAATACATACCTCGGCTTGAACTAACTATTGCAGTCGAACTAAGAATTTACAGTGCACTTCTTTGTGAATAGGCTGCTTGTATAAGATAAACCAACCCCGTTATTGAGAGTACTGAGATCCTGAGGACGATGAAGAACGGAGAGGGTGGTTTTAGTGCCGTGATGGGTTTCAGAGCTTTCCGTATGGAGGCTATTCAGGGTCTCAGGGTCCCGATCGTGAGGTAGGAAGTCTATTGAGAAAGCAGTATTGCTCCGTAGCCCAGCTGGTTCAAGTTGTGCAGGATTGTTCGTGCAATGTGGGTCCGCCATTTCGCAGGAATGCGACCTTTATAATGATTTTAATGGAAATGTGTTGAAATCAGTTGGATTTTGGCATCTGTCCAGAGTGTTGTTCTACTGTACAGGTCCACCTGGCTTAGAAGTGCTGATTCAGTTGAGACCGCATATGAGTCACCAAAAGCTTCCCCAAGTGCACTTCCAGCTTTGCTGAGTTGATGAAGCTTGATCGCTGTCAAACTTCAGCGGGGTCTTGGATGTTCCTGCACGGAATCCACTTTGTATTGCATGCAGTAGCCCAGCAGAAACCAAGTTGTTTTCACTGATTAAAAAGGTCTAGGTAAACACCAAATGGATCTTCAATATTACGACTTGCTTTCGCTCCTTTGCGGTCTCTTCCAAGCTTGATAAAGAAAATCGCGGAAACCCCGTTGGCCATGCAGCATTCAAAATTCCAAAAAGTGGAAGCAAATGTTACGAACAGAACTGTGCATTTTGAATGAAGGTGAGATACACACACCAAAATGTTACATTTTTGCGGTGAACTTGAGTTTGATACAAAACGAAGCATCCTTCTATTATATAGACCGCTAACTTGGTGTGTCGCTTTGCATGTCTGTCTGTCCGCACAATGAAGTGAGTGAAGGAAGCTCATGGAGATAAACAAACCGCTAACAAATCGGGTAGCTTACAGGATTTGAGATATCAATGTTTTGCAATAGGATATTGTGATAACACTCAACGGCTATATAAACACCTGCTTAGCACACTTCCGGTCATTCCACAAGGTGCTGCAGTGGCAGCTGGAGAGCAGTGGAGGGAGGAGGGGAGGATAAGGAGAGGAGGACAAACGCAAGCTTACACAGTGGAAGGAGGTCCGGGAGATGCCGGGGGACAACTGGTTGGAAATTAAAGGATCAAAAAACGACAGAATATTTTACTTAAAATAGCGAGAGATTTTCAATTCCCAGTGTGATTGTATTTCTAACTTAAACAATGTCATAAGCTTTCTCGAGATTGAAAAAGTTGCAACAAAAAAATGTGAAAGCGGTGCTGAACCAGCAAGTTAAGTGAATGATGAAGTGCAGTGGCCCTTCCATCGAACTTCACCGGCAGATTTCCAGAAAACTTCCCTCGAAGTAATATCTCTCCAAAATCCTTAAACCTACCTTTTCATGGGGGGAGAGAAAAGGTCACCGGCGGCGCGGACGCGTTCGCGTGTTGGTGACGTCAAAATGACGTCGCAGCTGCGACAGATTCGAAGGAAGGGCGAGCAGTGGCCAGCGCCGCTGCCACTTTGCTTGAATAAAGCTGGGTTTCTGGCACTATACCAACTTGTTCAATCAGTTGTGCCGCGAGAGAAATTATTGTGTTAGTTCAGGTACCATCCTTGCCTTAGGAATTGAAATTTCTCGAAAATGTAGAGGAATCGGGGCTTTCATGTGGAAACCCTTAGGAGTACTTGTCAGTAATTTGAGCTGAGTGTTTTCGTGTTCGATTCCAACTTACTTCTACTTATCACACAGTGAAGTAAGAGCACGATAGATGCTCGGAGTACTTAACATTGAAGTAATGGTGGAAAAGCTGGCCCTTGCTCGCTGCCTTGCCGCCGTTGTGACGTCACCAACACGCGAACGCGTCCGCGCCGCCGGTGACCTTTTCCATGGAGCCCTTTTCATGCAGGTATGATCAAGATTTGCAGTCCTGCCCTATATCTTTCAAAGATCATTTAGGATGACCAGCGGTTTGAGGGAACGAAGCGGACCCCGCTAGGAAGCGGGACAAACGCTAAAAAATAGAAGAAGAAGAAGCTGGCTCGAGGGAACTGAGTGCTTATTGTTTGACCATACTGACGAGATGTATCGCCCTACACACAATTAAAGGGACTGAACATTACATCAATGCTGTGTGTATTAGGCAGAAACGCAAGCTGCGCAGTTTAACCCTGCATGGCCCATGGTCAGAGCTCACTCGAGCCAATAAAGCTTTCACTGCTCAAAAGATCGTTTATGACCTTTCAAATTCATCCATTTAAATAAACATCAGGGAAATGAGGACTCCGCATTTGGGCATTTGGGATGAGCATGCATTCAAGTCCGCGATCTCGACGGAGGTCAAATGCGAGGCCTTCTCCGCGCATCAGCTCAACATTTATGGCAGAGCTGAGCCATGTTTCTCAATGTGCTGGCAAAAATAAGTGCTTATGAGAGCAACAACACGTTGTGGTGCAAAACTCACCTCATCTAGATCGAGTGGCTTCTATAAAATTAATACACAGAATGTTAGTGGCTGAGATTATTAGTATACTACTACCAACAAACAAAAATGTTATTGTGATTTGTTAGTAATAACTTCGCTGTAAGGAATACCTGAGTTGTCATACCACCCAGATAGTATTCCTGCGGCTGGGCAGTTTCCTTGATCAATGAAGCGATCCATTTTGTGTATTTCCTTGAATTATTGCTCTCATCAGTACGTCAAGAAATTTCAGTGGCTCAAATGGTGAAAAAATGAAGTGATCGTCACCGAACCATTTTTCTACAGACGCCGTGCACCAGAAGAACTCTTGAAATACCAGAGATATCAGAGAGGACGCTACACTTGAATGAGTCGCGGGCTTAATTGCAACTAATCTCATCGCCTGCCCTCCCATCCAAGTCGGGCAGATGAGAACTAAACAGCAAAAGGCGAAAATCCTCCTAGTGGGCATATTAGTAATACGTTCATCATTCAGGCCGTAGCACATTCTAATACATCAATCTCTATACTTATCTGTAAGGAGGACAGGACAAGGCTGAGAACGACTAAGAGTAACTTGACTCGGTTACCCGATTGCGGTGCGGAATAACTTGAAAGTAGGACCGACTATCATAGAGAGGATCAAAGAACACTTAAAGAAAGCTTCTTCAGAAAGGAAAAGGCAGTCGGGCCGATCCCAAATACATATTTCTCTGGATGGCATTGGTAGGAAATCCCCCAAACCAGTGGTTGTCCCTCAGCAATTAAATCGCTCATAAGCTTGACGCTCCTTTTTGTGATACCGAAAACAATATGCACGTACTTTCAGTTTCGGAGTAGAGGATAGGAGAGAAATTGGAAATGATTCTGCAACCTACCTTAGGTAATGACTTAAAAGTAAACGCTCACGGTGTGCTCATATTGGCGACGAGTGCCTTCGCACTCTCCACAAATCGCACATCACCCAGCTTGGTTCGTTGAGCGTAGGCAAACTTCTCGGCTTCGATAAGACGATGGTAAACCAAGGGGTCGTCCAGGTTAACCTTTCCAGCGCGATAGAATTCTGCAAGGAAACTTATAGGGATGCCTGAAGCTCTTGAACTTACACTCTTCGCATATGGCACATTGATAAACTCTGACCATCAAATTTTGCATTTCCAAAATAAGCCAAACAGGAAATCATCAAACATAACCGACAGATTCGTCCGTCAAAATGATGCTTATGATTATGCCATGGAGGCTCTTCGATGTTGTGCTCAAGCGGGAATCCATATGTGAATGTATTTGTAATTATGAAAGAATGTAAAATCCAATAGCTACCCAGAAAACCTGTAGAAAATTAAAAGTGAAAAAAGTCGTAACCAAACTTATTACGAAGGTTAGCAGAAATGAGGAATTTGCCAAGAATCATAAAAAAATTTCCAGTTGGCTACTTGTTATGGAGCAGAAGCTGAAGGTTGGCTTGTAATTTTGGAACGCACTACATAATCAACAATCAACTGGCACCTAGACAATTTCCCCTATATTTTCATGACTTACTTTGTTGGGTGTATGGTGCAATGATGTGGGATAACTGCTTGTGAACGGTGGAGTTCAGCCAAATACTGACGGAGAGAGCGCGCCAGGAGATAAAGGAGGGTAAAATGCAAAAATAGATGCTCACCAGCCATGACAGCTATGATGCTCTGAGTGATCACGAACGATGATGGAGGCGGCGGTCCGCACATCTCCAGGTCGCCCGACAGTCCACTGGCGATTAGAGGAATATCGTCGATGAGCGTTTCATAACTGGCCAGATCCTTCGAGTCGATAATACCTCCTGAACAAATCATGAAGGGGTCATCATTCAAGCAGCATTCATGCTTACTGGCAGAGAGCAGCTGGAGCAAGAAAGTTTGTCACCCACCGTTGTCGGTGATTTCTCCAGCGATCGTCTGTGCCATTCCTCCCTTGTAGAACAAATCGACTGGGTCGGAGGCATTGGCCAATAATTGAAGAGTGAATCCGTACCGCTCTCGTTTCATGATGTCGCCTTCCTCATAAACTCGACCCGTTGCTCGATCTACGAAGATTTCCCTAAAGAAGGCTTCCAGTGATTAGCGTTGCTGAGAAGACGCTAAATTCTATTATAGTTTCGAGGTCTTAACAATGAATCAGATGCTCATAGTGAGAAGTGATGCAGTCGATTTGAGTTTCTTTCTGAATGAGTCATCCATGCCATTATAAATTCGTTCAGGAATACACTAGGAAGGGATTTTGCCTGCGCCACGACGTGCAGGAAGGAAGCTCAAAGGAAGCGATTACGATAAAGAGGGAGCGCATCGGGGAAGCATATGCACCACACGAAGCAGTTACTTGGCTGCCAAGGAAGCGAGGTGTGGCGCTTTCACGACGAAAGGTGCGCTGGTTGCTGAGCAGGACTTCGAAAGCACTCCGCCCCCAAAAGCGATCCGCCCACTAGTTTAGTTGGTGATTTGGACGAGCTGCGTTGCCAGCAGCGGCACAACTGGAGCAACTCGATTGGAGCGTGGTTTGGCATGGTGCCACCAAACGCGTTAACTCGTTCATACGTCCGCTTTCTGAGCTGTTACCTGTTCATGAGTGAAAACCAACGGCCAAAAAAGGGGGTCCCGTTTTGCGTTTTTTGACGGATTTCTCTGCTTTTTTCGCCACTGGCGTACCATTGAGCACCACCTCGTCTCCTCTAAACCCTTATAGAGAAATCGTAATCGCTGCCTTCTCCTTTGAGTTAGTATCTCCAGAATCTGATACCAGTTGAGTAACGTTCGATGGATTGTGTCTTGGTTGACCAAATTGAGATTAGAAGATGGTAAAATCCTGTCAAATGGTATCAGAGCAAAGCAAAATCGTTCGAACACGTAATACTTTGTTCACTCGAAGATATACCTTGTCAGTATACTTAGTGATGGATGGTTTTTGTGAGTCATTTACTCCCATTCTATGGAAATAACTTAGGATTGGCGGTGAAGGGTTCCGTCAATTTCTTAGAGATACGTGCATGTGTAGTTATGTGCATCAAGCGCACCTTCAATTGTGCTTCATACAGTGAGGACAATGGTGAACCTCTATGCTCCAGAATTTCTCTACTTCTGTGAATACATGAGTATTACTTTCTCCTGTGAGCAAATCCGTTACCTGCTTTCCGATTGCATGAATGCTGACCACCTTTTCCAACAACGTTTGAAGTATTTCTCAGCAATAGAGGAACTTTTTGTAAGGGAAACTCTCGACGAAAGCTGTTGCTCCATGTCGGAAGTATACTCGATATCCGAAAGTTGGGGTAGGCGTGTCACCGGAAGTGACGTGCACTTGATAGAAGCTATGTGGATAAGCTGCTTCCAACATACATCGCTGGATATCAGCAAAGCATGCTGGCAACAGCTTATCCACGCAACTTCTATCAAGTGCACGTCACTTCCGGTGACACGCCTACCCCAACTTTCGGATATCGACTGTACATAAAAGACTGCTTTCACTGCTTCGTTTCCCACCGCGTAAATCCAAGGCTAACAGCCCCCTTATTAGCATGTAGAGAAGTACAGCTGTGATAGTTTGTGTTGTCTTCGAATAAAAGCCGAAGCAGAGCTCAAAGGTATCCAGTAATGAATCTTTATGAAGGGAAAACTATTGCAGAATGTGCTAGTGTGGTTAACGATAAAACCATTGGCGTGCAGTGACAAATCACCGAAAAAAGTAAAAGAGAGTTACGATTAGGCCAATCAACGCACTTAGTTGTCGTAGAAAACGGACGAAAAAATGCCTTATCGTTAGAAGGGCATTAAGAGGAGAGAGCGGACGAGGAGGAGAGGAGAGCATATAATATGTAAAAGAAGAGTGGGAGGAAGGCATCATCAGTTGTCAGTTCGAAGGCGGAGTCACCGAAAAGGGGTGGAGTACGGAGAAACTTAGAGCCTTGGAGGCCCTGGTAACCATTTTCGCTATGCTGGTACAACCAGTGCACCAGCTGAACAGCCTACCTCTTCCGCGCAAGAAATCCCTTTAACTAGTTGCAATCCGCGCACGAATTTGACTTATTCCACCTTGCTTGTAAATGGCCAGTGGGTGGCTGACCCTGAGTGCGGGACTGGAATGCTCGCGACATTTAACTGGACCACTTTAGGCTTTATGAATGCTGATGGTGAGGTGGCATTCTTGACAAGATATGGCCTCTCCGCTCCAACGTAAGCATCTCGCTTATAGGGCCCTTTATCTATAAATTCAACTAATTCCTTTCAGTAGTGAACATTTCAAAGGCAAAACTTCAGTAGGGGATACGCACGTCATTGTTGGCTCAGCTCGAATCAGGCTTTCCTTATCACTGAGTTGCTGGGCTAGATTGCTGGACACAGGAAATCCGTTCATGGCTAGCTTGATCGACGGATCGAACAGACGCGCCCACTTCACCTAAACAATGAACGACTAAAAAGATCATTACAAAAAAACATATAGAAATTGGCTATTGAAGAGAAAAGCCTAAAATCCAGGCGCATCAAACTGTGACGCACAAATCTTTCGGGTGGCTTTTCACATATGAAGTTTTCATTGTGTTTACGCTGAACGAGACAGAAGAAAGTTAAACGTAAAAAGTTGAGAAAAGTTGTTCTCTGTGAGAGAAAATTAGAAGATAGTCTATAAAGGACTCATATTTCTGATTGAGCTTCCCAGATTTGTATTAGCTTTACTCGGCTTCGGCACAATCCCTTCTTTGAGCTCGTACTGTATGTAGGTACCCCCCAGGAGGCCCGTCGCGCGGCAAGAAGGCAGAGTCGCGGACGAGTCGCAGCGTGTGTGCGATGTAGGACGTGCAATGGGACATTCTATTTAACTTGACGCGAAATCCCTACAGTACGCGCGCAACTCGTCCGCTGACTCGCCTTCTTGTCCGCGCGACGGGCCTCCTGGGGGGTACCCCTCATACTGTCGCCGCGCATTCGCTCATCGATTTTGTGGAGAAGTCCGAACTACTAAGTTGGCGCCCACGAGGGGCATCCGCTCACGTAAATCAAAACACACAGAGGTCCACAAAGGGTGTGAGCTCTATGGTTAGCGTAACACACTTGTCTTTTTCATTGATCCTTGGATCCTTGCTGAATCCATGAGGCTTGGAGTGTTCTGCAGCTTGATATCCTCTGCTCGCTTGCCAAGATCCTAACCTTCCGTTGACATTTTCGAGTCACTGAACCTCAGTCACCTCGAGGGTTGGAAACTCTGACTTTCTTGAGCTCGCGTAAGTGCTTCATGATCTTTATGCAAAATGCTCGTCTTGTCTCCGTTGCATACACCTACCCAAACGACTGGCGTCATTAGGTAAACAGCTCCTGCATAATGCAATGGACTGTCCAAAAGGACTAATCTCGCAGGAAGGGCGGTCACAGGGATGATTCCAGAACGGCTGCCTATTCTGATTGGAGTGCAGGATCTCAGCCATTCACACAATACAGGAGATCTGTTTTTCGATGACACGCGGGAATCGCAGCGCTTGTCGCGCTGGTTCACAAAAGCCTTCGTTTCAGAACAGTTCACAAATACGCGGCATCATCAACTGGTTTTCGCGTGTGAAAGCAACTCGTTGTTATGTGAAAACAATGTATTTTCGAAAGAAAACAATCCGTGGAGATTTCCTTTCCTTGAGAGTACGATTAGAACACCTCACCAGCACAACAGCTCTTTCACCCTCCACAACATTTGGGAACGGGACAGCACTTTACGCGAACGTAGCTTTGACTATTTGAAAGCTTGGGCTGTTGCATCACGAAAGTTTAGATCTCATCGTAACTTGAGATTAGGCCTCACCTTTCCAGAACCGAACTTTTTGAACACTGTCCAGAATCCGTGCAATTCAGACGGTGTTGCGATGGCACGATACCCTGAAATGAACAAATCACCTGATGTAGAAAATTTTGGAACTGATACACAGTAGTAGTGATAGTACACGGCTTCTAAGAGAGCGGTGGAAGCTAGTGCATTAGAAAGTCTCAGATGAAGGACTGTATCGAGGGAAAGAGTATGAAGCTTGTACCCAGTACGTTTAACCAAAAGCATGAGTCACCGGATAAGTGGGTGAATTGGGAAATGCGAAAAAAGAAGAGATTGTTGCACCTTGAGAAGAATGCAAGGAATTTTTTCGCCCTTCTCGCAGCCCCCCCCCTCACCCAAGAGAGTTTATATAGCGTATATTATTATTATGTTATAATAGCATTTAATTATTTGTTTTGTTCGAGAGACAACATAAACGATTAAAGGATGAAGTATTTGACTTGCTTGTATACGCCGCCCATTCTACTTCTTTTCAAAATATTAGAAACATTTGAGTGAGACTCGGTCTCAACAAGAATTGCCAGTGCCGGGCCATGTGCAAGTTACTGTTCAACCTTCCATACTTTGGTATCATTTGTGAAGGAGGGCTGAAAAGAAGGCTTGGGTGCAAGCAATTCAATTCTGCGACTTATTCCAATCGGGGGTTGGTGAGTGCGGCGATGGCCACGTAAATTTGCTTCATATTACCTGTACCGAACGGCCATCATTGGCTCAGCAAATTCTGCCAGCGAGTTTAGTCCCTTTTACGTGCCAGAGTATTCCTGCAATTTCCTTTCGCTCAACGATCACACAGCTCATCGTCCCCTTTTACTCAAAACATTTCTTAAAAAGTCTGACCATCGGCAATGGTCCAGGTGTACGTTTGGTGTATTGATTAATCTAGTCTGTAAGCGCTCCGGTCAACGGCCATCACAAACGCATGAATGCGTGTAGCCCACCTCGTGTTCGACTCCTTGGTGGAAAAAACATGGCTCCGATCTTGATCATCGATGCAGCTCGGTACTCCGGATTCTTTCCCAAACCTTAAGCGTATGAGAAACCTACCAGTATCTCCTCATAGCGCGTTGAATGACGCCGACCGCATGGTCTTCCTGCACGCTGAGAGTATGGGTCTGATTGTGAGACGTGAAGAACTTCGGTATCGAAGATGTGAGGGCAGACCGTCTCTTCTGCGTATTCCCAACTACTCCCATGGAATCGATTAAGTACCCAGTGTGAGCCCGGATTACTGAATTTTCACTGCTTTGAGCTATCCCGTGTGGGATGTCGGCATATTGGGAGAATACGGCCCCATTCTCCAACTCTTTGTGCCATGCGTTCTTCATCTGGAGCGATCACGAAGCAAGGGAAGTAGACCACATGCACGATTTCTAGGCGAAGCTGCGCAGTTGGCCCACTTATTTTATGAACTCCTTTTGTAACGGGAAATTTCCAAGAACCTATCCTAGAAATGGAAGTAGAATGCGTGCCGCATCCCAGAAAGGGATTGATCAACGACAAATGCTTTATCCTTTTATTCTATTCTCACTGAATTGGATGCAAAAAATGTTCCTAGCTATAAAATAAGAGTCAACAAGTCGGCTAATCCCGCTTTAAAATGCGCTTCACATTTGACCCCACTCATGACTGCAGTGGCACTACGCACTTGACCCACGGTGGCAACATTGTCTAAACCCAGCCGATGTGAAATTTTGAGTTTTATGCTCCTCCGTAGAAACTAACTGGTCCCGTTGGGATGTTTAAGTTGACTGCGTTGGATTTGAGCCTGCAGCATTTATGCGGTAGCGACGCCGTTTTCTTCATTCCCTAACGTCCCGTTTCGAATTGAGAGCGATAGTGATCACCTACCATAAACAGACTGCGATGAATCATTTTTGAACATGTCCTCGGTGGCGGCAAGAGGTGCTGTCTCGCGAGCGTTGATTGTCTGGCATCGGCCTGTAGACCTGAAATTTCTAGTGATTCAGCTTATAATTTTCCAGCTGTTGTCCTATTAATTGACGCTCAAATTGTGATAAGATTATCCCAACAGTCCACCTACGCATTGAAAAGCGTCATGAGAAAGCCGCCTCCGAGGCCACTCGACTGGGGATTCACTACTCCAATGCACAGTAATGTGGCTATCATCGAGTCGACAGCATTTCCACCATCAATCAAGACATCCCTGAAACCCATTTTTTTTCCTAAATCAGATCGCATCAATATGCAGCTTATGAAACACTCACCGTCCTATTTCTGAACAAAACCCGTGATCCGATGCTACAGCGGCTTTTTTGAAATGCGCGTAGAGACTTCCAGATGGTAACGGCCAGTGAATATGTTTCGGAGAATCTTCTTGCTAAGAATGAATGCAATGATTTGAGTGAGTACAGGGCCCGAAAGTATCATATCTAGCTATATATCGAGACTTTCATGCAACAACACCACAAAACTAATGCAGATAGAGGCTTTAGTGTTGTTGACCAGTTGTCACTAAAGAGACATGCGCTATTTATGGGACACAGGACGACGAGACGACATCGAACTAGCTACTAGTGATTGCATGGAATCACCACGTCTGCGCCGTCCGCTTCTGCTTCCGAGAATTTGTCGTCAACTCCACGGCAGCTGATATTGCGGTGATGTCGATGTTCTCCTTCCAACTAGAAGAAGTTCTCGGTCGTGATTTTCCATGAGCAAGCCATCAGGCAATAAACTTTACCACCATCGAACTATTCAACTTGCTTTGCTTCCCTTCACTTAACAAAAACTCGGAGGGAAGATACAATTGGTCGTCTTGATGAACGTGCAAAGCGAAAGTCATGCTACTTTATCATCGCCGATAGCTTATGCAAAAAGTTCCTAACAGGCGTGAATCGGATCCAATTCTCTCACATTCCGGGCAGGCGTGCTACCGATCACATCGCAAAGGCAGCACTTCACTTGAACCTTGCTTTCACTGTGCTTTTGCTCATGACCCTGCATCCCTGTGAAAATTTTTGCAGGATGAGCTGCTACTAAACACAGCGGTCAGCAAAAGATAAGAGCCTATAACTATTATCTTTCTAGATTACTATTCTATTTTCTCCATGTTTTACTTTCTTACTCACTGAGCACAACAACCTTTCCTTTTCAAAGCTATAGCAGCCTCTCGAGCAAGGAGAAAGTGCGTATTCTCAATATTAATCAGAAAGCTCTCCCATGTTCGCTGTATGCGCTATGAGCTTGCCTTCTCCTCGTCAGCATTCTTCTGGAAGCAAACTAAGCTGCTATGTTTTCCAGAGTCATTTGGCACACCCTTAATGAATTGATGAGGTTTGATTGATCAAGTAACCTCAGACTACAGTTGGAATGGAAATCCATCTAGCTACTCCTCTTGGCATCGGAGAGAGATTGGGTAGAATTTCATACCGCTCTTCTTTGCAATCTCGTTTCCCGCCTGAATTTGTGTGAACCCCACCGGAAACGCTATACAATGGCTTTCATTGTACCTTTCTTATTAGGGTGTTGTTATTTTGACGAGTTAAGCCAACAGTACCGCTTCTTACAAGCATGGACTCAATTAAATGTTCTCAATGCTAGTTGATGTCTTATTTTCCCATACATGCTATGATGACAGGCTTTCTGGAAGAAATAGAGTGTGTGCATGCGATTTCCGCAAACGCACTATGGCATAATGAGCAACTTTCGAAGCTCAATGGGTTCTTCTGGTGATGTGTGAATGAATCTTCCATTCTTTCCTAAACCACTTGTCATTTCACCAAAATGAGAGAAATTTTCATTCATTTGTTGTCATTTCACCAAAATGAGACAAATTTTCATTCATTTGTTTCGGGTATTATTCAGTTATTTATAATTATTTATAACTATTAAATATGCATGCGAGGGTGCGCTACGGAGTAAACTGAAAATGGAGCAAGAAGATTTCTAGCACCGTTTCTTTTCGCACCAGTTTATGACGGACTCGGAGCCTATAAATCGCTCAACAATAACGATCCCCGAACATAGGTTGCCATCGTGTAACACGTTCATACCGTCCTCCATCGCCTGATAATCCGTAAAATGCCGAGAGCGTGCAAAAGTAGAGAGCGTAATCGCGGCACACAGGCCCTCGGTTTATTTATCGGCCGGCAATTTTTGCGATGCGGTCGTTATGCCGATATTTAGTTAGCGTACCATTGAGTTTTTCATATGACTGGACTTAAATAATATAACAGAACACCTGTTATTCAGTAAGTGTGATTTTGTGACAAATTGACGGTCCTACTTACTATTTCGCACAACTCATCACGAAGAGATCGATTTATCTTTGGAGTATTTTCACCCGGACGACCCAGACAGCGCTAGTGAGATTAGGAATACGGGACAGCCAATCAGCACAGAGATTACAGATAGTTCGATTGCATCTGAAACAGCCGTTAAGAGGCTGTTGTGATGTCGGTTCACCCCAGCTTTAATATATATTGTGAGTTGACGCAGGCGAGCAACAGTGGCACGCTATACCGAACACAGCTAAGCTTTGTGCTTCTTCCTCGTCAGATCGGATGATTGGTGACAGACTCATTTCTGTGGATCTGACTTGAACATAGCCCTGCTCCCATAGGTTGGTGTTTGGGCCAGATCGCATCTCCAATGTCCACATGACTTCACAGTTAAAGGCAGAATTTTTCGATGAAAAAGCAATCAATTTCAGATAAAGTTGAGGATGGTGAGTGATAGAAGAAAGAGGTAAACATGAGCCCGGACCCGAACCCCGGCAATTAGGTGACCCATTCTTGCCGTTGATTCGCCGCATTGGTGCGGTCACATTTCGTCTGTCCCTCTAGCCTGAGGTCTATCTCTTTATTAATCACTGGTCGCGTATAGACTTGGGAATGTTGAGTTTAGACAGCGCTGGGGTTTCCACGTATCGGCGACTGGCCAGATTGATCACAGTTGAATCTTCGCTGCAATTGGCGTGTGACAGTTCGCATTCGGAGGTCCGTCTTATTGCACTGCAGTCTCGTTCGTTGACCATCGCTCTTACCGTTGGAATCCTTTTTTATGGTCATAGGGACAAGGACTTCGATCTGTAAATGCTTCAAAGGCGAGCTTTGGGATAAGATATGTGTTGGAGGGCGTTCTGTCGTGAAGCTGGGGTGAGAGCCAAGTGAGAATTATTAGAAGCAAACAACTCGCGATAACTCCCTGATAGGGCATCCTCATTTATCGGTCCGCATTCATTCTTGGATAATAAGATGGATAGTGGTTTCGACAACGAGTTTAACTAATCAGCTCCGGTTGCTCTTGGTGCCCGAATGACATTGAACCGCAATGCAGTCGCTGCCGCAACTGCGCCCGCGCTTTTATCGTAGTGCCTCGTGGCAAGTGACAGCGGGAGGCGGGTGCGAACGAAGGAGTAGAGTGCAGATCGCACAAGAATTTAAACGCTTTGGTCGCACACTTTCAGGCCGCGAAAAGGGTGCGACATCATTATTGTCCCCTTGTCTGCTGCGCTCAGGTATGGGACAGGTGACTGTGCCTAATCCCAGGCATTCATGGGCCTGGTATGCTTACATAGGGTGGAGTAAAACCGCAGGAAGGTGATATGTCGGAGGATTCTCTGGTAGTCAGCAGGTTATTATCAAAACTTTATCCGAAATTAAGTACTAGCTAAGCTGCCCCCAACCTGCCCCAATAGTTTTTTGAATTCATGAAGATGCCGTTTCGTCGCGCAACCAATTAGCCAGTTTTTACTTACCGGCTTCAGAGATTGCACTCGTGAAATAAAGGTGGATTACAGAATAGTACTTCCAACCAAACAGCACAACCGCTTTTGCGGCTGAACTCATCGGCACTGCACAGTACAAACAAATCGTTCAGTGACCTGATCCGAGTCGGACGAGTAGCGGTAATGCATTTTCAGAACTGAATGACTTATTTGGAAGGGGAAGCAGAAGGATTCTGAGTGCTACTTCAAGAAAATTACTTGGCGTGTTACAGTACTGATTTTTGTGATTCATCGACCAGTACCACGGCAACGTTAGTTATGGTGTAATTTTGTATGAATGCTCATTTTTCAGGGGAATTTACGGGACTTTTTCTCAACTTCCTAGGGTACCCACCGTAAAACTTTAAACGCGATTACGTTGTTTCTTTCATTTTTTGTTATAACTAGATTGGACTGGAGTTCCTTCAAAGCTGAGAATTTTTGATTTCAAATCAAAATACTATACTACTCAAGTAATTAGATTCATAATTATCTTAAATTTCCGTTTTCAAAAATCCAAAAAACTCACAGTTCAAAAAATTAACGCTCTTGTAATTCCCGAGTTTTTAGGTATAATAGAACAAATTAGAAAAATTCATAGTCTTCGGGATTTATTATAGCATTTTGAATAGGTGTTCCATTTGCGCACAGGGCCATCAACGGGATCCTTTTCTTAAAAAGATCCTTCTGCCTCTGAGGGACCCAAACATTTCCTCTCACAGTGTGCCACCTTTGGTGGATGATTTGTGGCAAAATATTCCTCCGATGCACTTTCATGAACAGAAGCAGGCTCTTCTTCACTGCCGTGATTTGCCGTGACTTTCCACTGAATATGAGGTCATCTGCCATCCATCGCGCTAGGCTTCGCTTAATCGCTAACCCTTAAGCTGCTACGTATTTTCTATGACCAGTCAACCGATGAAAAGCTTCCTAGAGACACTAGTTCTGAATGCAGAACTCTTTTGATCAGCTTCCAAATACTCAGTTGGGTACACACGGTTTGAATTAAGCAATGCGCAAGTATTCCATTTCGATAGAGGGAGAGTGCTCTTTTCCAGCTCCCTGTATACAGGGTACAAGCCTTCGTATCAGGTTGCCGGAAGTTTTTGCGCATTTGGCAACTTTTTTTCAAAATTGTTTTTCTTCTTTAGTGCAGCCAACAATTGCTGAATACATACACCACCATAATCGTCGAAACATTGCTCTTCAGCAGGCAACTTCAGGTTGCCGGCCGTTCAGAAATCCCGAGTCTTTGGGGCGAAAAGCTCGAAGAGGTTGACTCCGAGTAGGTCCGGATTATAGGCCTTTATTTCAGTACCTTCGAGTCCAAAAAGAGCTTGGAGACTTTTCCTGGACCCCTTCGTAATTCGTGGGCGAGCGTTGCCGACATAAAGTAAAG